GTGAGGTAGACATGTGGGGGCGTGTTAGAACGAGCCGTTTTAGGTAGACGTGGCTGACTCTTAACTTTTATAAAGTTATGGTTACAGATCTTCTTTATGCACCAAGAGTTTGTAACACTCCAAAGAGAAAGGAAAAATTGAAATCGCATCATATGACCCCTTTAAATGAACTCATGTTTGTTAATTGGGTTTAATAATTAAAATAGTTTTAACAGGGGCTGATTGAATGCTACAAGATATAAACGAAATGGATCATTTAATTTTAATCAGTCCATCAGTACAACAAACCTTCATAATGACAACAAAGCAGAATGGGTAAAACAGTTTCTTAAACTTTATTAAAAGCACATTTGAGATTCACAAAAATAGTGCGCTACATACAAATACAAGTGAATTTCATTGAAATTATAGGTCTATCTCATTAATATAGCATTAAAATGTTAGCTTATTTGCAAAAGATATGAAGGGCTTGTGCATTTTGTACTCTTTAACTCACTCCAGAGGACATGTAAAGATCTCAGTGTTTGGTGCTGAACAGATGAACGTCATTCAGCTTGTATGATCCTAAGTATAGTGTTTAGTGCTAATGTTGTGCATCGTGATTTAGCAAGTGCTAAAATTAATATGCCAATCTGGAGTACGTTCACATTAGAATAAATGAGAGAACTCCTATTTAAAAGCTTAAAAACAATGGAAATATATGAATAAAGCAGTCAAAAGACTCATAAAAGCACTCAGTTCATATGAGCAGCACCGTACGCAGCTGAAAGAGTCGATCACAGCTTATCAAGTGCACTTGAAGCATGTCTTACTGTAAAACTCCAGCACAATTTGTCTCGAGGGATTGTTTTACGAAGGAAAATAACCAGCCAGCTGGTTCTGGGAAATCTGAGGATGTGTGGAGTTCCTCTGTATTGGAAAAATCAGCCACAGTTTGATGATTTCAAGAGGCGGATCTGCAGATCCTGACCCATCCTGAGGGCCGTAAAACTCACTTTCACAATGATAAAGGCCAACTTTACTGTCCTGTCAGCGATATGTGAACCAGCAGTGGTTGGAATCATTTATGATATTGTGAATAATCAAACAGCCATCAGTCCTGCATTTAGAGTCACACTAAACATCAACAGCTCGTGACAAACCAATAAACATGTTCTTATAAGAGCGGTATTTAGAAATATGATGTATTTTGTATTTATTGTATGCAGTTTGGCCCCCAAAAGTATTTGGGTGAATCTCATGAAATCTCGCGAGAAATGTCCAGGTCATATTTCATCCCAAAATCAGAAGAGTTTACGGAGAAAAGAAAGACTATTATTAGTCTTATTAAGATTTGTGTGTTTTTTTGTTTGTTTTTTACATTTAAGTACATTATCCCAAAATTCTTGCAATGCAAAAAATAAAATAAAAAAAGACAATTATTAATATAATAAAGCAATTATTTAATAGTGCCATATTGATTGATATTATTAAGCTAATTAAAATATTGCATTGCAACAGAAAACAATGAAAATGAAAAAAAGGGTAATGAAAATAATCATTGTGAATAAGGAATAATGGGAATTATTTGTGATGGGAATTACAAATAATTATCAATGTTGCAATACAAAAAAAACTGCAAAAACGGTGAGCGAGTGATGGAATGCAAATACAAATCTGATGAAGAAACAAACTCATCCTAATCTTGGATGGCCTGAGGCACAGGTTCATTTTCATTTTTGGGTGGACTATTACTTTAATGATCCAAAAATAGGTTTAATTTTCTCTTTACTACAATATGACCTGGACAGTTTTGGTGAGATTCTCCTGTAAAGTGCATTAAACTGGTTTTATAACCCTGTAGGCAGGGAGTTATGTGTTGCACAGCAACAGGTTTAATGGTGAGAGGAAAGCGTGCTGTGGGTCAGTGAATATCTCTGGTCATTTCACAGCACTCAGACCGGCTGGTGCTCCAGGAAAAGCCCACGTCAAGAGCCCAATCATGACAAAACTTAGTGTTCGCCGCAAATGAAAAACATGGCATCAGACTCCGACAAAAGCAAAACACACAAAGTACACTTACAGATGTGAAAGGAAGAAACAGACGAGACAAAACACACACATACAGTATGCAGCTGGAAGCAGACAACATGAATGTGTAGCTGCACTCAGTGGAATGCATGGAAGCCCGTTTCCAACACAGAATAAAACAAATAAAAAAGATAATTGCGACTTTTTATCTCACAATTTGTAAAAAAGAGCAAGAAATTGCAAACAATGTTCCAAAATTGCGATGCAAACTCAGAATTCTGAGAGGAAAAATTAATTGCAAGATATAAACTCAGAATTCTGACTCTTTTTCTCAAATTTCTGAGTTTAACATTTCACAATTCTAAATGTATGTCTCGCAATTCTGTTTTTTGCTTCCACCATGGAAAAAAATAAATAAAAAAGGTAACTGCAACTTTTTATCTCACAATTCTGAATTCATATCTTGCGGTTTTGAACTTACATGTTGCAATTCTTACTTTTTTCTCTGAATTGTGAGATAAAAAGTTGCAATTACCTTTTTAATTCTTTTATCAGAAAACAGGCTTCCATAGATATGAGATCAAAATGTTCTTGTGTTGTGCAGCATCACGATACTCAGCTAAATCTGGTGGTTTGCTTCAGGCACCTGCCGTGGTTTGGCACTTAAACGCTTGTCTGGAGTAATTTAGATTGATGAAATATCTAAAGCAAGAGGTGACTGGAATAGATTTGTGTGATTCTTCCAGTATTTTGATGAAGTAGGGGTGTAAATCTAATGGCTTTCAATGATGACTGGCTCATACACACCGGCAGAGACCCTGTGAACACAACACAGAGTATGATCAGTGAGTTTGCGTGTTTTGTGTTTTTCAGCTCTTGATGCTGTATTTTTGTGGCGTGTTTGTGTGGAATCACCTGTTTCCCAGCTGGATGCCGCTCAGCGCTGTCGTTCCGTCTCTGCTCACAAACAGTCTCAGGTTACTATCTGAACACAGTCAGACAGACAGACAGACAGACAGACTGCAGTGAGCACATGACGACTGTTCACACCTGGTTTAACATGCGGCTCTAATGCATCTCGCTTGTAAACAGATTTTGTCAAGTGGAGGATCAATATTCATTACTACATACATCGCAGTGTCACCACACGTTTATATCGGGTATGATAAAGATGTTCAGTGAAGTCTTGTGCATGCAAATTAAAATTAAAATTGTGTGTGTGTGTGTGTGTGTGTGTTTTATTGCATGTTTACATTGAGTTCCATTTTTAATGCAAATACATAAAAAAAAAAATATATATATATATATATATATATATATACACACAAATCTACAAATAAATAATTTATGTATGTATGTATAATTTATGTATTTATTTAAATTGATGTATTTTTCTAGTTTTATATATTTATATATATTTTTATTCTTTGCATTATATATGCAA